CCCTCTAGCCCTTTAAATCTTTCCTTATTAGTTAGAAACTTGATCACTTCTTAGATTATTACACACCCACGTTACATGCTTTTCTTTTCATCATTGAGGTGATAGCATGCATTAATAAAGGAGATGAACTAGTAAGATGGCATTGGTAAGAACAAGAAAGAGAGATTGAACACATACGCAGAAAAGTAGAAGTGGCTCCTATTGAAGAGAAAATAGTGGGAATTGTTTTGAGATGGTAGGTCAAATTCAATGAACGCCTTTGAATGTGCCAGTAGGAGGATTAATCAAACAGTTAGGCTATGGTTTTCTGAAAGGAGCAAAGGAGGCCAAAGAGAACACTCAATGAAGTTATTGAGTGAATTTTTTCAGTTAGTAATCTATCCAAGATTTAGTCTTTGATAGAGTTCAATGGCATTGTACAATCCATTCAGCCAACCCTATCTAGTGGGATAAGTTTTGTTTGTTGTTGTATTATATTCTTTTTTTTTTCTTTTTTTGTGATAACTGAAACTGGTATGTACGGTGACATCCATTCTATCGTTGGTTGTCTCAGGACATCACAATGAAGATAATATCATTTTCTCAGCAAGGCCGCGAGCTATATGCATTCTTCTGCAAGTGGAGTTATATCAAGCGTCATGCTTCGGCAGGCTGATTCTTCTGGGGTACATTGACACATGAGGTAGTGTGCCATTTTCCCCACCGCCCCAGAGTAATCTGATGGCATCATTATCTATACTTTTTTTTTTTTTTTTGGTGAGAGTCATTATCTATACTTCAATGAAGATAATGGAATTTGTTTAAGTTTGTTAATTGTTTGTTGTTTTTCAATATATTTTATCAATAATACAAAAGTGAAACGATTATTTCTTTGGACATTAATATTTAATGCTGTTCAGAAACAGATGATAGAAGAAGAAATTTTATTTCTTTTCTTTGATGGGCTTAATTGCCTAATGATCTACAAGTGCGGCACCAGCCTTTCTAAATTCTGTTTTTCCAGTATTTGTTGAACATTATTTTCAGTGACTTTCCATTCTGTTGTCTTTGAATATATTGTTATAGCTTTTACTACATACTTGGTAAAAAGATATCTTTGCTGCAGCAATCTCCATTATTTTGAGCCACTGTTGCTGCTTAACCTGCAACATTTTTTCGGTAAAAAAAAAAAAAACTGGAACATTTTCATCAAAACTGGTGAAAACTTGGACTCAACATGTCGGTTTCTTTCCTTGTGTGTTCATATGAAAGGTTTATCTTTTCTTCCTGGGGAATAAATAAAAGTATTATCTTTTCTTTAGCTTTCTGATACCACTGCTTTTCATCACAAGTGAAAATCCCATCTTTTTGCTGTTGTTTTCCACAGGGACGGTTTGAAATTTTGTCATTATCTGGCTCATTCATGCCGAATGAAAGTGCAGGAACACGAAGCAGATCGGGTGGCATGAGTGTTTCTTTAGCAAGTCCAGATGGGCGCGTCATAGGGGGTAGTGTAGCTGGTTTGTTGGTAGCAGCAAGTCCTGTGCAGGTGTGTTTTCTCTTTCCATAATTATTACCTCTTTCTTTCTTTTCTTTTCGTTCTTTTTTGTTTTGTGGTCTTCGACTGGGAAAAGCATAATAATTCTAAGCGCTAAAGACCGCCTATGACAAAATTTGTCATCTTCCATGAATGAAATAGTTGATTCAGATTCATTGTGTGGTGACAATAATTTATAGGTGTCAATAAGGCCTCACTTATTCAACCCTAATAAAAGGGCTTTTCAACTCAACACTCTTGACCCTATGGTTAGGGGCCTAATAGGGCTGCCTGGGCTCTTTCTTTTTTCTTTTTATTTCTTTTTAGGCTCACAGATTGTCTATTTCTGCCATGTGAGCCTCGAAGCTGGCTCTCCACAAGCTTCAAATCATGAAAACACCCTCACTGCTTGCAGGGATAAGGTTGTATACAATTTTTCCCTCCCCAGATCCTGCCCTCCCTGGTGGGAGTCTTGTGCACTTGACCGCCTTTTTTTCCAGATTCTTCATTTCTCTTCTGTGGAGAGGATTTTAATTCTTTTTCCAACCTGTCTCTTAAAAGCTTAGAGCGGGGGCTGAACCAGGCAGATGCTAGCGCTGATTAATCTCATGAATCAGCTACAGAAACCTGTGATCCTGATTATTCTTTACAACTGATTGTTATTATGTATCAGGTTGTGGTTGGCAGTTTTCTGGCTGGAAACCAGCATGATCTGAAGACAAAGAAACAGAAACATGAGATTGTATCAACAGCAATTGTTCCTTTGTCTACTGCTGATCCAATACCTATCCTGTCATCTCCACCTTCCTTCCCTGCTCACAATTGGTCTGCATTGCCTTCTGATACGAGGAACAACATGACCACTGACATTAATGTGCCTCTATCTGCAGGGTAATATATATCCCACATGAATTTATTTTTTCTGCCGACAAAAATCGTTATATAGTCCTTAGCTGTTGGGCTGCTTTCCCTTGTTTGTGCCATTGAAACTTACTGGAACTAGGATGTTTTCTGAGGTTCATTTCCATGCAGAATTTTTGTTAGCTGATGATAGATGAGCTTCTCTGCTTTGGTTTGCTCATTTTGTTTGGGGTAGAATGTTCTGATGTGTTGGTTATTCCTTAGATCACCTTTCTCCTTGATTGTGAAATCCCAAGTTAATTTTTGTTGTTATTACGCCAATATCTGGTTTAGTGCAGATTTTGATCTTCCTCGCTATTAATTACTGTGTAATATATCTGATAAGGGTGTTCACGGGACAGGACCAAGACCGGTCCATCTCGGTGAACAAGGACAAGACAAGGCTTTAGTCTCGTGTCCCGTCCTGTTTTCCCCCTTTTTTTTAAAAAGAAATATTATAATTTTTCATATAAATTTTTTTTATGTTAAATGGTTATTTTTTATTGGGCTTCTAAAAATAAAAACAATATACTCTTTCAGTCCTTAATATAAGACTTATTTAATTAATTTGATTAAATTAAGGAAGTTAAGTAAATTAGTTAATTATAAGAAATATGACACGTTTTTCTTAAAATATCATAATTATTTCTCTTAATACCCCATTTTCTTTTTCTATTTAATTATAGTTGAGAAAGTATTTATAAGGGTAATCTAGAGAAAATTGATAAATATAAGAAATGGGTTTTATATTTAAGACTAAAACCAACTCAACAATTAGGTCTTATGTTAAGGACTTGAGGAGAGAAAAAATATTACGTAGAAAACTTAATTATATAATATAAAAAATGTATAAAAACAATACTATTAAAAAAAATACGGTAAAAGAAACAATATATAATGGTTTTATGAATATTTTATTGAGAAAGGAGATTTTGTTGAGATAATATTACGACTTAAGGGTTAAAAATTACTATAAAAATAATAATAATAATAATTATTATTAATTATTATTAATAAATAATTTTTTTTAAAAAAATTACCCTAGGACAAGATGGGACAACCCTGTCCCGTCCCGGTCATTATTCCTGTCCTGTTTTGTATTTGTCTTGTCTCCAAATTTTTTTTGTCCTATCCCAGGAAGGATAAAACATTGAACACTCCTAGTTATTATGAACTATGGTAGTGTGCTCGGGTTATCTCAAACATTTTTGAATCAAGTTAATTGAATCCTTTATTAGAAATAGAAATAAACAGCCAACCTAACTGATATGTTCCATTATGAGAGGAGGAATAAAAATTGAAAAACCAGAAACCTAGTTCACATTGAAAATTGAACTGATCAGTAATTTTAAGGGTCAGCAGTTTGACTTTGCTTGAACTAAAAGTAAATTCATGACACCAGTGTAAACTCAGGTTTCTCGGGTTCAACTTGGATCCTAGTGCTTAATTTTTCACATGAATCAAGACAAATAAAAAGAAACTTTCCAATCATTGACTCAAACTGATTGTAGAACCGAATCCTCCCATGTAGAATGTGGAGGACCCTAGAGGATGCAACCCTCTCGTGTGCCCTCATGTTAAAGAAGCATAGTTTGTTATTACCTCGGGTTTTAATTATAAAACCTCATTTATATACTATAAAAAAGATTTTATAATTAGGAGTAGAAATAGTATTACTTTATTTATATGTGTTTCTTGCAAGCTTCTAGAATTTTCTTGTTCTGTCTGGTGTCTGTCTATATGATTATGATATTACTCTATTAATCTTGCGTTGTTTGACCGAAATAATAATAACGAGGTTTTCAACGTGATTTTTTCCATTTATGATGTTCAGACTCTTAATTTTATTTGAAGAGATATCTTATTACTTTTACTTAATTCAACCATAATGTTTAGAAGTATTTAATTCACTTAATTTTTTTGTGGGTCAAATATAAATTGCCCACCGTAAAAATCTGGTCAAAATTACTCGTTTGAAAAATATTTAAAAAGGCCGACATCCATATATATACTATTAGGCATGCGATGTGCCTTTTTTTTTCACTAGAATTACAAAATGACCTTTTTTTTCACTTTAGTCTATATTTTTAATTGTTATAATATATAAATTAAAATATATGTTTAATCACCACCCACTAGTTGGCCAAAAAGAAAAAAAGAAAAATCACCACCCACTAGTCCGCGACCAAATTAATAAATTACAAGCTACTCTTCCGGTCCTTAATATAGGATATAATTCTTGAGTTGGTTTTGGTCCCTATAGATACTCCATCAACTATAATCGAGTAGAAAAGGGAAATGTGGTATTAATAAAGATGAATATGGTGGTTTAGGAAAAATGTGTCACTTTTCTTATAATTAACTAACTTACCTAACTTCCTTAATCTAATCAAATTAGTTAAATGAGTCTTATATTAAGAACCGGAAAAGTACTATTATGAGGTCAACTATTGATCAAATTTAAAGACCTTTTATTTTTAATAATGGCAAAAAAAAAAACCTTTAAAATATTCACCAAAAAAAAACAAACATTTAAGTACCATCATCTACTTAGCTAGGTCGTTCTTCCGTCAATCAAATATTTCACATAATACCAAAACTTAGAATCTTCATTTTTTTTTAAATTTTAATAGAACTATAGAAGTGAAACCAAACTAATAAAAACACCATTCAGTGATTTAAATTTAAAGGGAGCGTGATAGTTGAGGACCAAAAGATTAAATTAATTAAATATTATGATAAAAAATTCGAAAATACAAAAATAAGAATTAAAGATGTTTTCACTTTTCAGTGATTTGATACTTTTATTCCTTAATTCACAACTTGGTAATATCACTAATTTGCGGGTGAGATTTTTCTATTTATGAAAGAAAAAAGTAATTTGTTGAAGATACAATTTTTTTTAGTAAAAAATCAATTATATAAAGTGAACAAAAATTATACTACTAAGGTGGGTATTGTATAGTTAGGGGAATTAGAAATTAATAAAACATCAGTTTCATATGGGGAGTAATAGAAAAAGATTTAAGCAGTATGTTGATATTCTTTTCCAATGTGACGCTCAAAACAGAATGGATAAGGAAACGTCTGAGCAAACTTGTTAAATATCCAATGACTTTTTATGGTTTGATATTCATGTTATTTTATTGATAACTTTGTTGTTGCTAATTTGCAATCAATATTTTCTATTGATGAAGGAAAATGAATAGTTTTCATAACTTCTTATAGTTTGATATTAATATTTCTTGATTTATGATTTTATAATTATTAATTTACAAGTGAGATTCGTCATTTTAATATAAGGGTATACTAGCAAATTCATTCTTAGGCCAAATCACTAGGGGTTTGTTTGGTTGGAGGGTAGGGGAGGGAAAATGAACCCCTCCTCTCATTTGGTTAAAAATTTTGGAAGGGAGGGAAGCCAAAATGTCCCCTCCCCTCCCCTCCCCTCCCCTCCCCTCCCCTCATTTTAGATCCCCTTTAAATTAGGGGTTTTTGGAAGGGAGCTAAATTTTTAGATCATTATACCTTTATAGTTTTTTAATATTCTACTTCTACCCGTAAAATATATTATTATAATATTTATTTTAAATAAAAAATATATTATCCTAAGTAAAAAATAAAATGTATAAATTATTATAACTAAAAAATATATTATAAAAAATTAATTAAAAATAAAAAATTATTTAAATAAAAAATTATAATATTATAAAATTAATTTTTTTCTTATAAATATATTATTTATTAAATATATTTTAAAGCTGAAAAAAGGATAGCCCAAAGAGAATAAAATTTCATTTTTCTTAGAGCACATAAAATTTGTTAATTTGATTATTTTAAATATATTATTATATTAATTAGAATAAAAAATTACTGTACCAATTTTTTAATGCACATATTAACATGATAAGACTGAATTTTTATTAAATTATATAATTTAAATTAAGATGTAAATTAATTTATATAATATATCAATAAAAAATATAAACTAATATGTAAGGGTAAAATGGTAAATTGATTATTACTATCCTTCTCCTCCCCTTCTTGAACCAAACAAGGGATCCTTAACTATCTTCTCCTCTCTTCCTTTTTAATCAAACCAAATAAGGTGAGGATAAAACCTCCTCTCCCTTTTCCTATCCTACCCCCTCTACCCTCCCCTCAAACCAAACAGGCCCTAGAGAACCTTTGGTTGTCTTTTTTTTTTTTGGGAGGGGGGAGGTTGGTTGTTCCTTGTTGAGGTTGCCAAATTGTTGTTCTTAAATAAAATTAATTCAATCTTTTGATCCTTAAATGTCATCCGCCCCTGATTTAAATTTCGTATCTATTGTTATTAAATCACATTCCGAGCTATTTTTGCTCCGATACCCCTTTCTATCTCTAATTTTATGGAAACAAAATTCTTTTAATATTTTTTTAAAAAAAGTATTTCTATTTTCATTTTAAACGATGATAATAAAATGGCGAAAAACATTCCAACGAACTATAATCCTGAAATTACCAAATAGGTGAAGAAACGATATTGAATCATTTTAATCAAGTGATTTGGGCATTACAGATTCACAGCTGAATATAAAATTACACGTAAATGTGTTCGGAATTTTTCCTTTTTTCTTTTTTTGGAGTAGAATGCATTTGAAATCTTGAATAGTCATAATTCGTTAAAAATTATATATGAAAGTAAACTTATAATTTTTTTTTTAATTTACTGTCTATACATTTTTTTGGCCTGATTTAGTGTCTATACGAAAGACTGTAAAATTCCAACAGCATCTGTATCTTATTTTAGTGAAATATGAAACTCGGATAGTAAAACTGTAGAACACTAAAACTAGATGCTCACTTGCCACAATACATATAAATCTAAAAGATGATAAATCAAAAAAAAAAAAATCTAAAAGATGAGTACCTGGAATGAGCTCTGAGCTTTCTTGAAATTTCCATTTGCCATAAATCTAAAAGCATCATTGTTTAAGGCAATTGGGGACCTCCCACTGAGAAAAAAGTGAAAAACAATTCCTCCTTATATCCTACCATTTATTTACAGTTTGCTTAACCAAAACGACAAGCAATGAATCAGATAAGTAGCGGGCATCACGGAGGATAAAAATTAAAGCAACAGGAAAAAAAAAAATGGTTGCTCTGGAGTCCTAATTAAGTTGAAGCAATCATCGAAACTGAATCGAATTACTTCATTTGGCGCAAAGCACCATCTGGCAGATCCGGCAAGTTCTTCTAATTATTTTGCCAATCTTGAAGCAAGGAAATAACAATGGATGTGGTTGTGGTGGTGGTTTGGAAGGAGCAGAGCCTTCTTTGGTTAAATCAGCAACAGTCTCTGAACGAAATAAACTGAAAGGAGATTCATTTTTACTCCTCCGCAGATAGAAGTTTCTACTACCTATGTCCCCAATGAGTTGTGATCTGTCCAAACCTAACCAACAACGCAAGTTTCAGGTAATCAACAAAAAAACCCAGACCCATCTAGGGATTTGTGACACTATAAAATGTTTGAGCATTTATCTTACCTTGGAGGCTGAAATGGGAGTCATACAATTGGAATGAAGCTGCAGAGTTGGGATCGATCTTTGGGGCTCTTCCTTCTTCACTGTACTTGTTAATTACAAGCTTTATTGTGTCGTCCACACTTGAGCCCAGTTTAACCATAGTTCTGATTGGTCCTGGACTTCCCTCAACGGTCACACTAACTACCACCTTAGCTTCTTTTCTGGACCCCTGCATTTGCAATACCATCAAACTCTGTTTCAGGAGGCATGATCACGGACAACTAATTAATTGAGAAGACATAGCACATACACCCTAATGGCCTAGTTTCAAGGGTTTTTTCATCCCAAATATGGCAACCAATCTATCCCACTTGGTTTAATTACGTCTTGATGAAGGAAAATTTCTTCTTCTAAGGTCATTCCATATTCGGAACGGACCATAAAATATCACACACCACTCGATTATGGAGCCAACGGAGTATGGCATTTTCGTGTTAATTAAGGAAGGTGTTAGATACTATTTCTAGATCGAGGGGAAAAGTGTTCGTTACTCTCTACTCGGCTCTGGGTTTCCCAGTAACGTTCTGTTCCCCCATTTCTAGATTAGAACGAGAAGAGTAGAGAGATCAATTGATCCAATTGATTTCTCCTATAAACATAATCATCCTCTCTTTCAAGACGGTTATTATGAAATAAATCAAAATCATCGAGCTTATCACTGGGGTAGGAGATTAGGTTTAAAGGTAAAATTCATCCTCGAAATCAAGAAATTGGATTGACAAATAACAACTGGCCCATCTAGAATCCGATTTGATTTTGGTCGGCCGGTCAATTTACTTTACTATTGTTACGCGTGAAACTAATTGAATGTTAGTTAGTGACAATCAGGAGAAGTGTCCAAAATATTTTGGACATATCTATCTCGAATTTTTATTTTTATTTTTTAATATTTACGTTATTTTCTTACCAAAATTATTCAAACCATTAAGTCACTAGAAAATAAATAGAAGCAAGAAAATTAGAAAATAACAGCAACAGCAATTGCAAAATGTGGAGTCCATACCTCGTGATTCTGAGGGGAGGAAGCTAAGAGGGAAGGAGAAGACGCAAAGGCAACAGAAAAAGTATGAGGACGGAAAAGCGTGCCTTCGTGCTTGACATCGCAATCGAGATCGTGATCTTCATCGGCGGAGGAGTAATCGGAGAGAAGTGAAGGCGCCGATGAGCACCGCTTCAAAATCTTGAGAGGCTTTGATCTGTTGGAGGAGGGCGGAGGAGTGCGTCGATGAGAGGAAGGCGATGGATGATGCGGAGGCTTACTTCTCCGGCTGGAGGTTGCAGGAGCACGGCGGCGAAGAGTTGGTTGAGGCATGAAGGAAAAGAAGAAGAAAGTTATAGTGTTGGTGAGAAGAGAGGTGAGAATGGAAGGTGTGGAAGTTGAGGGAGGCATATATAGGGATGGTGCGCGCGTGGGGACGCCAAAGCGAGGGAAAGAGTGAAAATAGAATTTGTGAAATGGGGCATTTCCATATCAAAGGACTTTACGTTCATACACTACTCACGCATATACTACCTCCGCTCCTAATTATAAGACTCAATTGACTTATTTGAGAAGATTAAAGAAGTAAGTTAAGTTAGTTATTTGTAATAAATAAGTATTGTCATTCCTAAAATATCCTTGCTAATTAAGTGTATTGGCTAGAACTATCATTATTAGAAGGACTATCTTGGAAAAAAAAATACATAAATATGAGAGACAAAATGGATTGGGGTCTTATAATTAGGACTAAACAAAAAGTTAAACGGGATCTTATATTAAGAACCGGAGGCAGTAGCTGGTAAATAAAATATACGCGCACGCGCATACACATAGAGATTACAGATTGTCGAATTTAGCCAAATCCTACCTATTTATTGTTGCTGATCCAAAAAAAAATCCTACCTATTTATTGTGATATATGACCAAGCCTTTGTGAAAATGAAAGGGCAAGGAAAACAGAAGATTTGATCCTCTTCTCCATCTTTGTTTTCTCGCCTCATCTCATTATTGGATTAAAAAAAAAAAGTTGAGAGTTAATATATTTTAATTTAATATAGACAGTTCACAGCTGTAGATTATCCAGAAATAAAAATTAATAATAATTTTATAAAATATGAAATCTCAATTAGATGAAAAGGGTGTTTACATTCAAAAAAAGACATTGAAGAACACAGAATACATTAAAGTGGCTTAAAGTAAATTAGCAATGGGCTATTATCTTGTACTCTTCGAATTATAATGTAATTATGCAATACTATAACAATATTTTAAATTTAATACTATCTTTATATGAAAATATATTCATAACATGAGTTTTTTTTTGGGTGAAATATCTATAGTTCATATTTATTCTTCTAAGAGTTTTTTTAAGATCGTTTAACATTAATTTACCAAATCAATGTGTTTAGATTTTTATTAAAAAAAAGTTTAATATAATTTTTGGTCCCTTAAATTTGAATATATTTTGATTTTAGTCCCTCAAATTTCAAACTCATGGTTTTAGTCCTTAAAATTTAGTTTGTCTTAAAATATTAGTCCTTGAAAGTATAAATGTGTTAAAATATGTTGAAATGTCATAAACAGTGTTAAAATAATAATATATACTCACCAAATAACCTTTTGCTAAATCTTATATAAATAACAGGAAGGGAGAAAAAACAAAGAACATGTCTTTAAAATGTAGCTGTTTAGCTCTCTTTTTTTCCCCTTAACGTTTGTTTGAGGAGCTATTCAATATGATATGTTTTAAAAACCCATCCCTCTTAGTATAATCTGTTATCAACATAAGATTCAACTTAGCATTATTTGATAAGTACACATTATCACTTTAATGTCATTTATAACATTTCGGTAAATTTTAACATCGTTATACTTTTAGAGATTAACATTTCAAAATAACTTAAATTTTAAGAATTAAAACCACAATTTTAAAATTTGATGGATTAAAACCAAATAAACTTGAATTTCAAAGACCAAAAATTATGTTAACCTTTAAAAAACCACAAATTTATAACACTTCTTTTATATTTGACTATTAACCATTCAAATAATAAAATGAAATAAAATAAAAACAATAACGAGTAATTATGCTTCAAACCCTTCATAAAAAAATTGAAATAATGTCGCGTTTTCACTTGGCAAGGACTGGTGGAGACTTTGATTTTTTTTATTTATTTTACTAAATAAGTGAATTTGTCAATTTGGAGTTCAAAAACTTGAAAATTCAAATGAAAGGAAAATGGAAACAACTCAATACGTTTCAAGTTTGTGAGTCCTGCATGGGGCCTACCATTTATCTCTCTCTCTCCCACCTCGTAATAAACCCTCTCGCGGTCCCAGCCAAACCAACCAAAACTATTACTATCATCAGGCTCTTGTTAATTTTATTTTTTAATATAAAAGTTACTTAATTAACTTAAATAAATTTAAAAAATTGTTAAGATAGTTATTTATAATAAATATGAGTTGAATTATTTCAAGTATTCTTTTAATTATGATTATACATTTGGATAAAAACCTCTTAATATGTGTGATCAATAGAGATATTTTATAGAATGAATTATGAATGTGTAAGACAAAATAAATTAAAATCTTATATTTATGACCAAATAAAATTCTTAACTAACTGTTAAATTAAAAATCATAAGTAGTATTGTTTATTTCCACTTTATTTTCCTATTTCTTTGTTGCTCAAATCTCAATATCCACTTCCTTTTCATTTTCTGTTTTCATGCTTTCTAGAGCATGATTTTGTTCTATACCCACCAAATTAATTATTGTTATTTTTAGATATATAATATGTAGTTTTATTATTATTTGAATTAAGTTTTAAATTTGGGAAAATCGGAGAAAAGTACCTAATTGAATCTATAATTGGTACATAGGATCACAAAACTTTTTATTCGATACGCATATATCTTTACATTATTAATTTACCAAAATGTCCTTGAAAAAATTAAGAGAAAAAAAAAAGGCCTCCAACCCCTGGTTTTCTCATTCCTGAAACTCCTTACCACCCGCACCAAAACTAACAACTCACCCCTACCTCAATCAAAACAAGCATCAAAAATGAAAACCATGGAACAATAAAATCTGGATCATAGGAAATTGAAACCGCTGAGCAACAAAAATAAAAAAGTCTAGAGATAATGAATCTTAAACACAGATCTGCAAATGGTTTGATGATGGCAGTCATGAAAGACTATTGTAGAAATTGCAAGCTTCACAAATATTGATAACCATAATAGAGGAGAGACACTCGAACCAAGAGATCTGCAAATTAATTGTTTGAATGGGGTGACATATCATCTATATATACAAATAAGAATCCCTCTAATTGCAATAGATCTTCCATTGTGTTTGTCTAAGATTAGATGCAATGGAACTTTAATAGAGTATAACATATCATCCGTATATGTAAATGAAAATTTCTCTAAATGCAATTGATCTTCTATTGTGTTCACCTAAAACTAAATGCAACCAAACTTCAATATAGTATAAAACATCATCCGTATGTGCAAATAAAAATTCCTTTAAGTGCAATTGATCTTCCATTGAGTGTAACACATTATCCGCATGTGTAAAAAAAAACCATTCTAATTGCAATTAGTCTTCTATTGTGTTCATCTAAGACTAGGTATAACCAAACTTCAATAGAGTGCAACACATTATCCGTATATGCAAATGAAAATCCCTTCAAGTGCAATTGATCTTCTATAGTGGTTCCTGAGGCTAGGTGGAACCAAATTTCAATAAAGGGCAACACATCAGTTGTATGTGCAAATGAAAATTTCTATAAGTACAATTGATCTTCCATTGTGTTCTCTAACAGTAGATGTAACCAAACTTCAATAGAGTGCAATATATCATCCATATGTACAAATGAAAATCCCTCTAAGTGCAAATAATCTTTTATTGTGTTCATTTCAGATTAGATGCAACCAAACTTCAATAGAGTGCAATATATCATCTATATGTGTAAATAAAAATCTCTTAAATTCAATTGATTTTCCATTACGTTCACCTAAAAGTGTCTTGGTCTTTTACCTTACAATATTTATTTATACTAAAAGACCTCATCCTCTCACAAATTTCTAGGGACCAATTCTCACATAAATTTCTAAATGGGTATTTTTTTTTCCCCAAATGTTCTTTTAAATTTTATGTTTTATATTTATTAATTTGAAAAGTACAAAATATAGTAAGCGAAAGGGCTTGAGACGCGTAGGGCCAATTTTGGGCTCTCGAGGACTATAAGGGCAAGATTCAAAGATTTAAAAAATGGCTCTAACTTTTGAGCTGACTCACATATTTCATACTACGGCTTTTTTACCAATATACGATAAATAGTAAAATTATATACTAAAATACTGTACTTTAAAAACTATTTACTAATATGTTGTACTTAAAATCGTTTTGGCAAGAACGATTTTAAAATTACACACAAGTCGTTCTTGGCGTGAACAATTTCGGAAATCGTTCACGCCAAGAACGATTTTACTTTTTCCTGTTCACTCTACCATATGCGAATCTCTGCCAATTTTACATGCAAAAATAAAAATCCTTGACAATGCTCCATGAGGCTACAACATCTATATTGGATTAAAATTTAAAAATCCCAATTTTTTAATTTTTTAAATAGAGCTTGATGAAATTTTATGTCATTTCCTCTTCTTTTTATTTTTCTCATACCAAACAATACGTAATAAAAAATATATGCTTTAATTGTAAATTTTTAATTGTAGCAATTAAGTTGTAGGATTAAATTATTATTATTATTATTTTGGTCACAGGCATAAAAGGTCTATACCCAATACTTGATTTCTCGTCAAACTGAATAAATGTCACACAACTGGCTTTTTTTTACCAAAATACTACAAAGAGTAAAATTATATACTAATATGCTGCACTTTTAAAAGTATTTACTAATATCCTATACTTAAAATCGTTCTTCAGGTGAATAATTTTTAAAGTTATTTATCTGCTGAACGACTTCTTCATTTAATAAATGTTTACGCCAAGAACAATTTCTAAAATCGTTCACGCCAAGAACGACTTGTGTGAAATTTCAAAGTCATTTTTACCAAGAACGATTTTAAGTGCAGATAAATGCCACACAAGCTTTTATGCACATCAATGATAGATTATGAAGAAATCGTTCAGCAGATAAATGACTTTAAAAATTATTTACCTGAAAAATGATTTTAAGTGTAGCATATTAGTAAATACTTTTAAAAGTGCAGCATATTAGTATATAATTTTACTTTTTGTAGTATTTTAGTAAAAAAGCCAATCGTGTGGCATTTGTTTGGTTTGACGAGAAATCAAGTATTGGGCATGGACCTTTTCTGCCTGTGACCAAAATAATAATAATAATAATTTAGTCTTGCAACTTAATTACTACAATTAAAAATTTACAGTCAAAGCATAATTTTTTTTTGTTACATATTGTTTGGTATG